GCTAGCTTCTTCATTCTAAGATATGATATAGGGTACGGGCCAAGAACATTATTTTTGGGTGACAAGAACTGCGAGCTGCTGATAAGCGATAAGGGGCTTCAGAAAGGGAAGGTCACCATGTTCATAACGCGGGTGACAGCATCAGCGAGGCGGGCGCCGAGCGGTTCCGAGAGGAGCGGATGTGATATTCGTGTTCAAGAGGTCCAACTACCCCTGTACATACGTTTTCAGCGGATTTGGTGACCTAGGGTTTTGGCGCCGGCGCCTGTGGCGCGGGCGCCAGGCAGTTTCGGGAGGAGCGGATGTGATATTCGTGTTCAGGAGGTCGAATTACCCCTAGAACCCAACTTTCAGTCGGATCTGCCCCCCACAACAACTGTGTTCAGTCTTGTCTGTGGGTGATAGGGTGTGTCAGAAGAGTTGCGTTTTGCTCGGCATCTGCTCCTTTTTCACCAAATGTTGCCGCTAGTCCGCTTCAACAATTGGTGAAGAACGCCTGGCGCTAAGGCAAACACAGCTCTCCTCCTGCAGACCCCCAAAACTGTGTAGCAGTGTATATATTCTGTACGCACTCAATCATGCCCAGAATTCTCCTGGAACAGCCCGCTCACGGCGCAGCTCTCAGTCGTCACACGATTTTCCGCGTCCATCGGATTTCAAGTACTTTTCGACAATACAAACTAGTTGAATGTTCGTCGCTCACGACTCTGTAAATAGTGTGCAGAGGCGGCGACACATTGCCGTTTTAAAAACCCTATTTCTATTGATTCCCCTCTTTTGACGTTTAGCGACTGTTGCATATCTTACCAGCCGAATAATCGATTATAGATAATGTGATAGGGGAGCCCTGATGAATTTGTCCTCTGTCATAACATTTCGTGGTCCCAGAGGAAATTTCTTCATTGATTTAATCGATTTTCACTAAGATCAGTAGAGTGTCCACAGCAGATTACTCCAGAATATTCAACTTATGAGCTTCCTGAGGGTTTATCAATTTTGATTATCATGACAATATTAAAAGCAGCATTGCCGTCGAGCCTGCCAATCAATATTATTCAATCAATATTTTTGACTCAAAAACCTTTAAGAGATATACCTGAGCATGTGCCTTCAGCTAAATTTCAGTGATGTCTTTCAGACTCATATTCATGAGGAAAGCCGCCATTTGGAAGATGATACGGTAGCCGGAAGATCGTATTTGGTGAGCTACATTTTCGGTTATTCGCTTTGAACTGTTTCTTCTGGGTACAAACAGGTTTTCGGCTGTAGCGGGGACAGTCGTCCGGTTTGATATCAGTTACAGCTGGAAACTTATTTGTATACCTATGCACGAACCCCTTGTTTATACTTTCCTATGCTTGTCGCTTTCAGCATGGATTTTTTTGCGATGGCCTCTTGAAAAGTTTAGATATAGGCATTGTTCCAAGCGTGCCTCTCGGGCAGGGTTAGACTTCGCGACAGCGCTTCGGTCGCGCGTTCGACGCGATCGATGCAGTCGAAAGTCGCATCGACCGCGCCAAACGCGCGACCGAGGCGCTCGTTGCATAGTCTGAACGCTGCCTCACAAGTTTCCTCCTTCCCTCATCAGGGAAAAAGTACCTGCTCCTGATTCCGCTAAAATACGTGTCGTTGTGGTATTACGGTCGATGGACGTTCCCATGTCCTACGAATTCCATTCCCGTGGCAATTTCACCTTTGAGTAATACATAGAGTAGTTCGGTTGATTTCAGTTTACTAGCATTCTCCTCTCCTTCCTGACCTCTACACTATTCACTATATCAAATAATCAAACTGCTCAGGCAGAGAACTTCTACATTTTCGAAAAAAAAAAAAGAATATTCCGTAGGCGAACCGAACGGTTATGCCATATGTGAATGGTTCCTTTCCCTAATGGAAGTGAATGCCACTTCCTCCCAACCCCCTCCCCTCACCAGCACTCGAGTATCCCTCACCAGTTTTCTGGAGAATTCTAGGGATGGTCCGTGCTATGTGCGAGGGATGTTTTCTGAGCTCAGTCTCCGAAAAAAAGCAGGGAGACAGGTCTCTAGAGTAGCGATACTCGGTTGTTGTCTCCCAACTCCACCTGCGCTATCCTCAAGGAGCAGCAATCGTCTCGATGTCAAGCTCTTGCAGCGAAACGCGCATTCAGTGGTAGAGGAAAACCAGAAAGGAAAGGGCGCAGACGGTAGCGTGTGAGCCAGCGCGGGCGGGGTCGGGCGACGCACTCCGGCTATCGTTATCCCCCCCCCCACTCAACACCAATCTTCTTGTGATTTTATCAGGTACGCTTCTTTGATCAACAATTTCCAACGGTCCAGATTCCATGCATCGGCTGCGGACAGGCCAGCACCAGTCATGCCCATCTTTAAGATGTCTTTCCATGGCATTCTAGGTCGGCTTTTCAGACGTTTAGCGACAAAAATGCTCTTACCAGCGGACTTCCTCCCAATTCCGTCGCACTTGTCTGGCACGCTACCGCAAGCTGAGGCAGCTGCAGACTCATTCTCCCCAGTAGCGGCAAACCATGACACACAGCGTAGAAATCTTTAACAGCTAGTTCACTTTGCCATGAAATGCCCTGTTTCTGAACAGTGAGTCATTTGATCCCTCGAACTTTTCCCAAGGACTGTGCAAAAACTACTTTGCTGGTAATCCTATGGTTTGAGCAGGAGGTGGTGTAGTGACAAGTGGCGCGCTCACGGGTTCGCGCGGTCCTGGGTTCAAATCCCGGGTCGACTCCCGCCCAGGCCAACCAAGCCTTCTACCCTCCGGGGACGGAATTGGTACCAGATTCGTCTGGGAGGATAAAACACTGACTTGTACATCGGCTGGCCCCGCAAGTCATTGTATAGGCCACATCGCATTCAATAAGCCACTACGATTCTGAATGGAAGTAGAATGCGTGCCGCATCCCACAAAGGGATTGATCAACGGCGAAGACTTTATCCTTTTATCCTTTGATTCCATGGTTTGCATCAGCCTTCATTTCAGCTGATTTTTTATTATATTTTGATTGTCAGCGAAACAATGGCCTACCGCATGAGCAAGCATCACCACATAAACATCAATGCGCCATACAGGTCCACATTCCATGATTCTGACAGCGATTTGAAGGCTCATCGTTCGCAATGATACAAAAGAGCACATTCCCTACCGTTTCAGTTTTCACTGCTGAATACCACCTGCACAACAAATAACGAGCACAAATGAGTGTAATCCTTAGTGAAATTATGGAAAGATGAGTGAGCTACAAGGGAGTAATGGTCCGCGGTATGACCCCCATGGGTGGATGTACTTGGGAATCAGGGCACGGTTCGACCCCTCCGGGGTTCCACCTCTGATACGATCGCACGGTTCCCCGTCCCTTATCCTACCTACCATCTTTTTTGAATCTCCCAACTTTCTTCGAAATCGAAAAAATTCCATGGCGTTGGTATTAGATACTGTGCATGAAACGGGGTAAATCGAGAAAAATCTACAAGCGAAAACAGTCTTCTCAAAGGCAGCTATGGCCTCCTTCCCTGCAGCTAACCCACAGAGATTTGTTTGTGGAAATACCATTTTTTTTTCAAATTTTTGTTCGTTTCACTTGTTTTCACTTATTTTCTGCTTTCCATTCCCACGTCTTGAATGGCTTGTTCTAGCTTAGTTTCATTTTGAAATTGTAGCCTTTTTTCTGTATCTATCTGTTTTGCCATATGTTCCTGTGCTTTTTTAAAGCCTCCTTGTTTTTTTCCTTTGATTTTGCTTTTTCTGTTATGCTCATACGGCGTGAGTTTCGTGTACGAAGGATCAGGCAATAGTAAGCGAGGGAGTACGGAGACGATTGAGACGGCAGAACAACAGAGCGTGCACTGATCACGTCCATTTCAAGGCGATGATCTTCCTTAAAGGAGGGGGTGGGCAGTACAGTCAGCTTCTCAGGGGCCTTACCACTTTTTTTCGAGCTTTGGAATAGCATAACCTTCATAGCTGTTAAATAGTTTAGCCAAAATTTGGAAAGCATTTTCCCTGTGGAGCGGGAGAGGGGGGGAGTCATGCATTGGATCCCTGATTAATTTAAACCCTTTCTTTATGGGATATCTTACTAGTACCTGGGGATTGGAATGGTCGAAGAAACTGCTACAGCCTTGTTCGCGGTAGATGATGGGGCTGGTCAATGGGGCTAGGTTTGGCGCGCTGCCATCCCCTTCTTCACCAGTTCTGAAGCGGGTGAACGACAACAGTTAGTGGCAGACGACTGATAGCAATAATATGAACCACATCGCTTAACAAAAGAAAAAAAGACGGCTGGCGCCGTTGAAAACCCTCCCCCTCAACACGCTCGATCATCCGCAGCGAACAATGGTGTAAGTAACAACCTTGTAACAAGCACTCCTCCTGAGTTGCTTTCTTGATGGGTGACAGTGCAGGCCTTTTGTCCACAGCCCACATTCACTCTTCATGTCCAGGGCTACCTAGAGCGCGAGGAAATAGTATGAGTTGTTTCACTTCTCCCCAAAGCGTCGGTCATCCTTGTAAAAGAAGAAGTTCCGAGTATTCACGCCGTGCGAGCTTACTAACCCGGTTTGCTGTGCTTTCACTTCCTTTCGCGTCTTTCATCATCGGCATCTCGTTAACCCTTTTCTTTCGTGATTCTCATTTTCTCGTATTTTAGCGCAAAACACTCCGTCAAACTCTATCGCCGTCACCTCCAGTTGGAATATTACGACGTTCTCCTGAGATCGGCTACTCGCCTCCATTTAGAGCTATCAGCAGTGAGAGCAAAAGCGCTGCTGCCGCTGCCGCACGCGATTATCGCAGCGATCGCTGGACCTGCACCTATCCAACCCCACATCGTCGATCGCGAAGCTCGTACGAGTTACGCGATCGAGGTGGACGAGATTATTCCTACGAGGACAAATACCTGGATCGAGACACCTATGTTCAAGAAAAGTTGGAGTTGGACGAGATGTATCGCAAGCGAACACACCAAGAGAGGGTGGGGCGTCGCGACTATACACCCCGAACAACGGTGGTGCCGATTCAGCGTCTTGACGGCGAGTATCGCCGGACGCACGCGCCACGTCCCTATCACGCAATGCGATCGAAGTCAAGCGACTATATCCTCGAGAAGGAGTATAGTCGGACTGACGATTTCGCCACCTCGGACACTTTTCATCGCTTCTATGATCGTGACGGCAGGCTCTTGAGTCGTGACCAACGTCGAGGCTACGACATCGACATACAAAGAGACTATGATAGAGACAGATATGCACGACGGGATTCGTGGGATTCATGGCGGCAACCGCGATTTAGCAAAAGTGTCGAGCGACGAACTGAAGAGCGCATGGAGTATGAGGAAAAGGAAAAACGCATGTGGATTCCTGAACGAAGGGTGGTGGTGGGTGTGAATTGTGTTTGTCCATGTCCATGTTTTCGCAAATCTAACCCTTAGGCTGCGTTTATACTTGCAGCAGCGATCACCAGCGTCTACTCAGCGTCCTCTAGCGTTCCGAGTGTCTTGCAGCGTCAGCGACCAGGAAAGTATAGATACTGATCTAGCGTCTGTCAGAATCTGCCAGCGTCTCGAGGGCTAGGGAAGCATATAGATCTAGCGTCTGCCAGCGTCTACCAGCGTCAGTCAGCGTCCACCAGCGACCAGAAATAGAGAGTATGGGGAAGTAGGAGGGTAGCAAACAGCTGGATTAGGCGTCGTGAAATTGCGGCGTGTGCAACCGCACCGCACAACTGCTAAAGCACAGAATTATGCTAATGTACGGTCTAGTGTAGTTGTGCCGTACGGTTGCACATGCCGCAATTTCCACGACCCTATCCTGCGCTGTCTTGCTAACCTCCTACTTCCCCATACTCTCTACTCCCGGTCGCTGCTGAACGCTGGCAGACGTTGGGAGACGCTGGCCGACGCGCTAGATAGATACCTATGCTTTCCCTAGCCCTCGAGACGCTCACAGACGCTAGACCGATATCTATACACCTGGTCGGTGACGCTGCGGGACGCTCGCAACGCCAATGGACGCTGGCAGACGCTGCTGGACGCACAGTATGAACGCAGCCTTAATGTTCTCATAGACGTTTTGTAGTCAGATTATCCCTTGCTGTGTACGTCATGTGCCATAATGTCTTATATGTCTTCATAGCCAGTTTTAGCATTGAATTCTTTGGACTAAGCAAAGTGATCCTCCAATTCTTGACGTATCTCTTGCCCAAGCCGCTGTTTTATCTCCAAAAAGCTTTTACTCAAAAAACGAGGCCCCACCTGGTCCTCCAACACGCGACGCAAACGCGACGCTCCCTTGTCTTTTTTTTACACCGAGAGTCGTTCCACTTCAGGAATTTTCACGCGATTTGGCGTGACGTAATCGACCAGCAGCGGCAACCTGCACCAGGCTACGCCGCCGACACTCGACGAATCCGCGACGCGAGCGCTTCGCTAGGGTACGTTTAGCTTCTCTTACGATATCGTGACTTATAAATGTTACCCACACGCATGCTCAGCTTTTATATTTTATGAATATCGTGACTAGCGTTCGCGTCGCGAACGAGAAGGCAAGCCCCAAAAATAGAAGTGTGGCGAAGTCACGCGTTGCGTCCTTTTTCTTAAAGGGAAAAACCACACGGGTTTGTGTGGGCGGATTTCTTCTCCAGGGGAAAAAAAAAGGGACGGTCCAAGACAATCGTAATTCGCTGCTTTGTGCGCGCGCGGCGACGGGCACATCGCTTGCACGCGACGTCTACCAGCGCGGGCGAGTTGTCTTGTCTCACATCAGAGTGGTCCTCGCTACTCACAGCCTCTTCTCGCCTTACTCATTTGCGGTGGAGGGGGAGGAAGCTTCTCTTCAGAGATGGCAAAGAGCATGGCGGTACCAATGGGGGAGACGCAGTGGCTCTAGTGGACGCCTGCCACGGTGATCATAGGGGTGTCGCTCTACAGCGTGTGTTTCTGGCCGCGCTCTTTCCGTGGGCGGAGACAGCCAACCATCATAGATCCCTCCACTGGGCTATTGAGCTATCTCGTATAATAAGAACAGCGTTGGCCGTGCCCTCAAAACCCATTATACCAAACGTAGAGCTGCACAGTAATAATTCTAGTGTTTCATATTGTTCCCCTCTTACAGTAATCTACCTGCAATCATCAATCGCAAGTTGGAAGAGACTCGAAAACTCGAAAAAGAGCGGCAGACCGCGAATATGGTTATCGATCGTACGATAGTCGCAGGGAACCGTTGCTTGGCGCATCTTCCCACACAGAAGCGTATGACAGATCAGCGGACTACGGTCGCTTTGAAAAGGTTTGTGCTATTTTCTGTGAGTCTTTGGATTGTCCCTTATTCCGTCGATTCCTAGAGCTACGCACCGGATTATCGCACTCGGCACTACGACTCCTCTAAGTATGGGACAGCAGAAGCACGAGGTGCAAGTGCTGCTGCAGCCGCGGTGGATTCAAGCTATGCGTCGGATTATCGACGACGAGAACATCGCGAGTTGAGTCCCAGTCCGGGTTATGGTCGGCGCGAGATGAGTGCAGCATTCCGTGAGGAAGTCCGTCGCGAACCAGTAACCAACGAACAAGTGGTGGCAGTCAGCGGAAAGCATCGATGTGCTCACTGTGCGGAAGAATTAGGTGAGGCTTTCCGAAAGCTCTCTCGTAACACTAATAATATCTAATTGATTCTGACTGGGAATGGTTTTGGGGTTAAATTATTGAGAAGAGTCAATTTAACAAAATAATATGTCATGTATGAAATCTAAAACAGCTGGGTTGTGCAGGGTAACGTTGGGTACGAGAGCGTTGGCCACTGCGTGCGTGTCAGGAGGTCCAGATTGCGGTAACTCACAGGAATTGGTCCCCGCAAGAGCGGCGTCGTGATTGGTCAATTTCTTTGTGACTTGTATTCCAAGTGCCGCGCACGCGACTTCATTGGAACGCCGCGCAGCCGAATCGTCGGCACACACCAGCATTAAATCGCTTTACCCGTCTTTCTTGATGAGCTTTTGATTGCACGAGCGGAACATGTGAAAGTAGCCCACTGAAACTTGAGCGAAACTTGTACTGATTGTCGAAAATTCGCACAAGATGTTGGGGCACAGGCGCGCCTGAGGTTTTCCATCGCTGGGGCGGGGTTCAAATTCCGCAGTGACGCGCTACTTTACAACCGCGCTCCAGTGCTATAGACAGGAACGCAGCCATAGACGGATATCGATCGGCGCCGGCCGCTACTGCTTTGAGAGAGTATGAGGAAGTGAGAGGGTAGGCGTTGCCTAATGTTGGCCTATAGCTGCTTCAGTAGCTTT